GCATTATCGAAGTACAATACCAATCATTTCAGTTTCAGTCTTAAAATTGGTATGAAGATAAAATCTAATAGGCCTATTAATTTATGAGGTTGAAGCTGTTTTCAACGAAGAGGTGCTGCATAATTAAAATATTATATAACACGACTACATGAAATATCGTACTAGTAATACGACAAAAACGAAATAAATTGAACAACAGGATGACAAGAACTACATAGAAATTGATCTTCATTAATCATTGAGTGGACAAAATTAATAACTTTTAACTCGATCTATGCTAATTATGATATTGAGTGTGAATTCACCAATAATCAACAGCGTCACAGAACCGAATATCTTAGGGCTAAATGTATACTGTTCTAATAGCCTCGTGCCCTCGCCTCTCCGAAAGAAAATTTAAATTTGCATAGCAACAGTTGCTATGGTGATGACCTTGTATCTTAAACATCAATGTATTAACTTTGTTCAATAAGAGATGTTTATTATATAAATATATTGTATCTCATGATTTTTGCTTGGTCAATAACAAAATGTACAGCAATTCTACTGATTTTGCTTCGTAGCTATGGACGATAAAGAGTGTTGCTTTGCAATTATATCAAAGTTTCAGCATTTTTTACATAATCCTATTATATGGTAATAATAGATAATTCAGATGTTAAACATATTCATAAAACCTATGAAAATATAGATTTTAATCAACTTTAAGCTTCCTGTATATTTAAATTAAATGAATAAAATAGGAAATTTAAATTTTTATAGCAACGGTTGCTATGGTGATTGACATTGTAGTTTTTCTTATGAAGAGCGTCATTAGTCAGGAGCATTTTAATATGCCTGATGTTACGAAGGTGATACGTAACGGACTTGCAGATGTTGGATATGTGTTTCCCCATCAACATATTAGAGTAAAAAACAACTCCAATATTGCAAACTTCTGATGATAGAAGAACATTAGTCACGGCTGCAATCGCGATACTATTGATTGGAGGCGGTGTTTAAAGGTACTTGGAATGAATACATCAGGGGCGGATTTAGGGTGGGGGGCGCCTGCGACCTGCGACCCCCTCCCCCTTATATCA